CTTCACAACCCAGTGACCTGGGCGGCCCCACCCTGGTGAACACCTAAGGCTCTGCTCCTCATACTTTACGCCAAAACATGTCTCAAGAAGAACTCAAAGCCCCAGAGGCCATAACTCTAAGTGACCAAGAAATAGCCAAACTTTCAGATGCACAGTTCAAAACACTAGTGGTCAGGATGATCACAGAACTGATTTTAGTCACAAATTAGACGAACAAAACAATGCTAAACTAATTGAAATGAAGGGAAATGCACAGGAAAACAATAGTGATGGAAAGGAAACTGGGACTCAAATCAAGGGAGTGGACAAGAAGGAAGGAAAAAATGACCAAACAGAAAAGAATGAAGAAATAAAAATTCAAAAAAATGAGGAGAGGCTTAAGAACCACCAGGACATCTTTAAATGCTCCAACATCCGAATTATAGGGGTACCAGAAGGGGAAGAGGAAGAGCCACGAGTGGAAAACTTACTTGAACAAATAATAAAGGAGAACTTCCCCAATCTGTCAAAAAAAAAAAAAATAGACTCCCAGGAAATCCAGGAAGCTAAGAGAATCCCAAAGAAGTTGGACCCAAGAAGGAACACACCAAGGCACATCATCATTACATTAGCCAAGATGAAAATGAAGGAGAGAATCCTAGAAGCAGCAAGAGATAAGGGGACAGTCACCTACAAAGGTGTTCCCATCAGACTGTCAGCTGATTTCTGAAAACAGACCTTACAGGCAAGAAGGGGCTGGAAAGAAGTATTCCAAGTCATGAAATCCAAAGACCTACAACCAAGATTGATCTATCCAGCAAAGCTTTCATTTAGAATGGAAGGGCAGATAAAGTGCTTCTCAGGTAAGATCAAATTCAAGGAGTTCATCATCACCAAGCCATTATTACATGAAATGTTAAAGGGACTTATCTAAGAAAAAGAAGATAAAAAAGATGAACAGTAAAAGGACAGCTAACTCACAGTTATTAACAACCACACCTAAAACAAAAGCAACCTAAGAGGACAGCTAGATCAGGGGCAGAATCATAGAAATGAAGATCACATGGAGGGTTAGCAACAGGGGAGTGGGAGGAAAAGGGGGAAGAAGGTACAGAAAATAAGTAGCATTGACAGTAGGTAGAAAATAGATAGGGGGGAGGGTAAGATTAGAATGGGAAATATAGAATCTAAAGAACTTGAGACACGTGGTCAGAAACTAAAGGGGAGAATGGTGGGGGAGGGGGTGTGCAGGGTGGAGGGGAATGAAGGGGGAAATAGAACAACTGTAATGGCATAATCAATAAAATAAAATAAATTTTAAAAAAATTAATAAAATTTAAATGAAATGCGAAGCGTCAGAAATAGTTAAGACACTCTTGAAAAAAAACAAAGTAGGAATGCTTGCTCAAGACATATTATAAATTGACAATAATTGTAACAGTGTGGAATTGCTGCAAGAATAGAAGAGAAAGTCCCTCATCCAAAATACACAGATATACTGACACTCAATTTATAACAAAAGTCACACCACCCCACAGAGCATCGAGGAAAGGAGGATCTTCTCAATAAATGGTGCTGGTCATCTCAATATCCACATTCAAATACAAGTTGAGTCATCACAAAAATCAATCCCAGTACTATAGATCTCTTTGTGTAAGGTAAAACAATATAGTTCTTAAAAGACTACACAAAAATATCTTCATAAGTTTCACATACATATACATACCACTCAGGTTCATTTAGCAAAAATGACTCAGAACTTTGGAAAGCACTATTCTTACAATTACAGTTTTACCATAGTGAAAAGGATATAAATCAAAACCAGACAAAAGATGAGACACATAGCATGAGACCTGATGGGGTCCCAAAACAAAACTTCTGGTGTACTCCTCCTGTGCAATCAAGACACCCTGACACCCTGATGTATAATAATATACACAGTAATGTCAACCAGGGAAGCTCACACAAGTTTTGGGGTCCAGAGCTTTTACTGAGGATTCACTTTATAGGTGAAGGGATTAAATTGTTAGTTACAGAATAGTAATGGAGATGTAAAGTACAGTAAAGGGAATATAGTCAATTATATGCTAACAACTATGAATGGTGTCAGAAGGGTACAAGATTTATCGGGATGAACACTTAGTAAGTTATATATGTCTAACCACTGGGGTAAATCCCTGAAACTAATATAATATTGTATTTCAACTATAATTGAAAAATAATTATTTAAAATAAATAAATATAATTTCCAAAATCATTACAGCTTAGACTAATATTAAATTTATGAATAACTTTTCATTATCTGAAATCTTTGGTTATCTGGACAGTACAAGATTACAAGTTTAAAGCTAGAAACTACAAAAGCAATGTAAAATAAGTAATACATATTTGGTCACATTAAAGCTCCACTTATGACAAAAAAGTTGATATAGTACATTCATAGATGTATATAAATTAATGACACAGTTAATGTATCTGAAAGCTAAAATTTAAGCTTTAAAATCTTCATTTTGTTTTTATGTATTTATGTATATTTAAACTTACATATAAAGTTATATATTAGAATAATAGAGAGAAAAAAACTAACAATTCAAGGAAACATGGTCTTTGAATATTCAGTCTACTCTTTAAAAAAGCAAAGAAAAAATATCATATCTTATTTGGTGGCTTTTACAAAGAACAGAACTTTCTTATCTCATAGGCTCCTAAATCTTTGTGGTTTAGTGCTAATTTTTTAATTCACTTTCTGATTAAAATTTCTTATTTCTGAAAGGGATAAAATTTCTTCTAATTGTTATTGCTATGATTAATTTAAATGCAATTTTTGATTATTTGTATAACGAAGACTTCAATTTCTGTCTTTTTTAAAATATATTTTGATTATGCCATTACAGTTGTCCTATTCCCCTTCATTCCCCTCCACCCTGCACACTCCCCTCCCCCACCATTCCCCCCTTTCATTTGTCCATGTGTCACAAGTTCTTTAAATTCTTTATTTCCTGTACTATTCTTGCTGTCCCCCCTATTTTCTACCTACCATCTATGGTACTTATTCTCTGTACCTTCTCCCCCCTTCTCCCACTCCCCTGTTGCTAACCCTCCATGTGATCTTCATTTCTATGGTTCCACTCCTGATCTAGCTGTTCTCTTAGGTTGCTTTTGTTTTAGGTGTGGTTGTTAATAACTGTGAGTTAGCTGTCCTTTCACTGTTCATCTTTTTTATCTTCTTTTTCTTAGATAAGTCCCTTTAACATTTCATGTAATAATGGCTTGGTGATGATGAACTCCTTGCACTTGACCTTATCTGAGAAGCACTTTATCTACCCTTCCATTCTAAATGAAAGCTTGGTTGGATAGAGCATTCTTGGATGTAGGTCTTTGGATTTCATGACTTGGAATACCTCTTTCCAGCCCCTTCTTGCCTGTAAGGTCTGTTTTCAGAAATCAGCTGACAGTCTGATGGGAACACCTTTGTAGGTGACTGTCCCCTTATCTCTTGCTGCTTCTAGGATTCTCTTCTTCATTTTAATCTTGGCTAATGTAATGATGATGTGTCTTGGTGTGTTCCTTCTTGGGTCCAACTTCATTGGGACTCTCTGAGCTTCCTGGATTTCCTGGAAGTCAGTGGTTTTTTTTTTTTTTTTGACAGATTGGGGAAGTTCTCCTTTATTATTTGTTCAAATAAGTTTTCCACTCGTGGCTGTTCCTCTTCCCCTTTTGGTACCCCTATTATTCGGATGTTGAAACACTTAAAGATGTCCTGAAGGTTCCTAAGCCTCTCCTCATTTTTTTTGAATTCTGGTTTCTTCATCCTTTTTCTATTTGGTCATTTTTTTCTTCCTTCTGGTCCACTCTCCTGATTTGAGTCCCAGTTTCCTTTCCATCACTATTGTTTTCCTGTGCATTTCCCTTCATTTCAATTAGTTTAGCCTTCATTTGTTCCTCTAATTTGTGACTAAAATCAACCAGTTTTGTTGAGCATCCTGATCACCAGTGTTTTGAAGTGTGCATCTGATAGGTTGGCTCTCTCTTGGTTGCTTAGAAGTATTGGCTCTGGGGCTTTGAGCTGTTCTTGAGCCGTAATGTTTTGGTCTGTTCACACCTGTTATGTATGAGGGGAGGAGCCTTAGGTGCTCACCAGGGTAAGGCAACCCAGTTGCAAGGTTGTATGTTGGGGCAGGGTCAGAGAGGGGCAATGGCGCTTGTTCCACACTCTCTCTTGGATTTCATTCCCCTCTGCTGTTTCCCACAAGCAAACTGGGCCCCCCTGGTGCCAGCTCCCAGGTGTGTGGCCCTATGCACCCTCCAGGACCCGTGGGTCTCTCCAACAAACTCTCTGTGAGCCTGGGAGCTTCTCCCAGCACCTCAACCCTGAAAATTTTTCGCATTGGTGCTTTTAGGCTTTAGTTCCTGTTGCTGGGGCCCTGGCCTGAGCGGTCTGTCTCACTGCTCACTCCTTCGCCTGCTTTATCTACACTCAAATGTGTGACCCCGGTCAGCCAGCTGCCTCGTGCCCTCAATGGGTCTGTCCATTGCCACCCCACACCTGGGATCTGCCAACCACTCCTGGGTCGGTCTGGTCAATTTTTCCTACCCAACCTCACTTTGTCAGTCTCTGACTCTGCTCCCCCTACTTGTCTGACTGAATGATTCATTGTTGTTAGACTTCTGTACAGTTCAATTTTCTGTCTGTTTTGGTTGTGTTTTTTGTTACTAAAACTTTGTTGTCTTTAAACTTGGTTATGCAAGGAGGCACAATGTTTCCACCTACGCTTCCATCTTGGCCGGAAATCTAATTTTTGTCTTAAAACATCTATGACTTAAGTCTATATACTAATGCTATAAAATGTTTAATAATTATTTTTGATATAGATTTTTCCAGATCTAGACTCCAAATATTACATAATAAAAATGTTAAAATGTTTAAAAAAAAGTAAAATACTAGTAAATACTATTTCAGAACAATGCAAGAACCTCCGCATTTTCCAAATTTATAAGTTAGAATAACAGTGTTAACTTACTTCTTCAGCAGACATGTGAAATTGTAAAACATTTGGCAAAACACTACCATATTCCCACCTCAGTGCTCTAATTCGAAGCAATCGGTCATACCTAGGATATTAAGAAGGTATTAGATGGCTTAACAAAAGGGGTATCAGAAGTTGTTTTGATCAGGAAAGAATTAAGCCCACTATAATCTAAGTGCATTATGTGGACTCTATTTGGCTCCTGAGGCTAACAAACCAGTTGTAAGGTCACCTTTGGGACAGTGCAAAAAACATCACTATGGATTGGAAAGAGGTCTTATTTATTAGAGATGCATACTAGAGTATTCAGTAGTAAAATGTCTTGATGCTGTACAATAGTGTAGCATAAATAAATAACATGGAACAAATATGCCAAAACATTAAAAATTGTTACAAATGGCCCTGGCTGGGACACCAAAGGGTTGCAGGTTCCACCCCCAGTCAGGGTGCATATGGGAGGCAACAAACCAATGTTTGTTTGTTTCTTTTTTCTTTTCTTTTTTCTCTCTCCCCCACTCCCTCTGTCTCTAAAATCAATAAACATATCTTTGAGTGAGGATTAAAATAAAATTGTTACACATGTATGATGGTCCCATGGGATTTCATAACACCATTCTGTCTAGTTTTATGAATACTGTAGTCTTTCATGATAAAAAGTTTTAAAATGGAAAAAAAGAATTTTGAATGTTCATAAAGAGACAAATCTAAGAATCTGTTTTCATTTGAAATGGTTAATTAGGGAACCACATGAAAAATGCTCCATTGTTCTCTGACATCCCCAACCAAAAACTGAGAGGCTTACAGGTATGCTATAGTGCAGCGTCGGTTTCTTAGCAAAGAACAGTGTCGAAATTTGATGGTTGGTATCAAATCACTTCGTCCACCTGACTTTGCTTCATTCCTAGTAACAATTGAATAGGAAAAGAACAAATATGTATATTTCAGTATAAATAAAATTTTCAAAGTCAACTAACAACTGACTTACATTTTTGTTTTTTATTATCAGCAGTTAACCTAAGCAAATAGTAATAGCCTCTACTTCAGAGCTTTTATTAATATGTTAAAAGAAAAAAAAGCCAAATAATTTGCCTAAGATTATCACACTATGATCATTTCATTTAACCATTCAGTACTTTGCATTTTTGTGTACTGACTAATCTCCATTATTTCCAAAAGACAAAAAATGTGTTTACTCACTTTTTGGAATTCCTTTATCATGCTAGGGTAAGAGACAAACCTAATGTCATGGTTCCTTAGATTATGGTCCTGTATCATGTTTTTATTCTATGCAGTACTCCTCATTATAATAAAGTAGAAAATAGCAATCGACATGGCCCTTTAATCATCCAACAAATATTTGTTGATCTTCAACAAATACACATGTACTGTACTTTAGTGTTCTTCACACAGAAAGACAATTTTGATTCTACCCTGTAAATGCCCTTAGATATTAAACAACATTTTAAAACCAGATGTACAATCATTTAATGGGTATAGAGTGTCAGTATAACAAGATAAGAAGTTACAAAGATGGATGGTGGTAATAGTTGCACAACATATGAATGTATTTAAGACTACTCACCTGTACATTTAGATGTTTAAGATGGTTTAGATGTTTATTACTGGTTACAATGGCAAATTTTATGTTATGCATATTTTACTACTATTTTAAAAACTGGGGAAAAAAAACTAAGCCAAATATATAGAAATAATTAAAATCTACTTGGGGGTTTTAAAATATATGTCCCACACAATCATGCCTTTTATATATAGTCTGCATACTTCTGCCATTCTGTGAAAGTTGGATTTATTCTCCATTGTTTACAATGTGCTCTGAACTATAAAATAATAGTACAAATAAAATGCACCTAACATAACATCAGAATACTTTATTAAGTACATAAAGACTTCCTAAAAAATTCACATTTGCACATGAGTAATTTAAAAGAAATAGTTTTCATTTAATATGTATTAAATAGATTTGTTTTGACAAATAATTTTCATTAGAAATTGGTAATAGTGATTGACCCCCTAGAAAGAAAGTAGGATAGGAAACAAAACTTTGGATTATGAATTTGCAAAGGCTACAAATACAGGGAATACAGGAAAATCCCTCCCTTACTGGCTAAGGCCTGATATGCTACCTCTCTGTTCACTTTTTAGCTAGTCCAAGCCATCTCTGCTGTCACCTGTATGACCAGTATGCCTCCCTCTCCCCTCAACTCCTCCATCCACTCTCCACACAGTAGACCATGTGATCATTTAAAACATAAACATGCCACCACCTGCTCCACACATTAAAAAATCTTAGCTGGTGTCGCACTTTGGCTGCTTACTAAGCTTCAGTCACACTGACCTTCTTTGAGTATTAGTTTCCCTGAGCGTCCCACCCTCTTTCATGACTCAGGGAATTTGTGTATGCTGTTCCTTCAACTTAGAATGTTCTCTGTCCACAATTACTGCCTTGTTAAAAACTTGATTCTCCTTCAGGCTTCAGCTGACATCTCCCTTCCTTGGAGAGAACTTTCTGACTCCTCAATCTAGTTATAGCTTCATTATTCTCTGTCCTAGCATGCTGTTGTGTTTCTTTATAGCATGAATCCCAATTTGGTCTACCTGTATTTTGTATTAGACTGTGAAGGCCAGAAAGTAACAGAAATCTTGACTACTGTGTTTACAATTAAAATACCAGAGCCATTTATCAGCACATAGTTGTTTAGTCCACATTTGTTAAATGAATGAATGAACTGAGTTTAGGACTTTACATTTTGCCTTACATTTACCACAAACCTGTTGTGGTTCATGTCCTCATTCCATCTATAGACTTTTCTGTATCCACCCTTAAACACTGTAGTTGAAAATGTTTCTGTTGTTCTGTAAGCTCTACCAATTTTATTAGCACACTGATTTCTATATCCAAATAACTGATAAAAACATTGTGCCTTATAAGGCCAAAGATGAAACCTCATATCACATATCTTCTCTCTAGGTTTACTTCTAGAGAAGTTAGATTAATTTCTCTCTAGGCTGAGACCTGAATACGTCAACTACGATCTAGAAGTTGGTGTCTGTAAGACTCCTTTGTGACTTACTCTTTGCCAAATCACAGGGATCTATGAAGTTTGTTATACAGCTCAAATTCTCCATTGTGTCAACTACTATACTTAGCTCTAAATATTCTATACATCTAGAGCGTTCTCACTTCCAACCTGTATCCTTTTGTAGCACTAGTACTCGAACTCCATTCAAGCTATTGGAAATTATGACTGCTCCTGATAAATTTACATATTGCCCATTCTGTCATCAATGCACTAACGTATACATAAATGAAAACAAGCAGTGGAAATGATATATTTTACTTTATTAGGGTTTTTATTTGCTTATATCTCATCTCTTTTAGGTCTACCCTAATATCTTTCAAGTCATATCAGTCAAATGACAAATGTTTACTTAGCATCTTCCATATGCCAAGTGCTACTTGAATCCCCATAGATGTAACCATGATCATCACAATCGCTTTGGTTCTATACACCTAGAGTATAATCAGGCTCACAGAGAATTTAAAAAACAGAAAAAAAATCCAAAAACTGATGTAAGATTATCTGATTTTAATATCAGTTTTTAAACATTCTTAAAGTATAAATCTTATCAAAACTTACACATCAGACTGGTTTTGTTCATATAAAGTTTTCATCTCCTCCAGAATCTGCCTGAGTCCATCCTCCTAGAACATACAAAATGGTATTGATCCACATTCATTAATTTCCCTCACCAAGTCAGTAACAATAATCTGTTCATACTGTGTTTATCTTTGATTTACATATCTGGTTTAAAAGCAATAGTCCTTTCACACTTACTATAAGTGTTGGTGATAATGGAGAGAAATTAGAACCCTCATACTTTGCAGGTAAGAATGTAAAATAGTATGGCACTGTGGAAAAAAGTCTAATGGTTCCTCAAAAAGATTAACATATTGCCTATTATCTAGCAATTCCACTCCTAAACATATACTCAAGATAATTAAAAATATATGTTCTTAAAAAACATGTACACAAATCTTCAAAGCAGCATTATTCACAATAGCTAAAAAGTAGAAACGGCCCTGGCTGGCATGGATCAGTGGATTAAACGTGGGCCTGAGAACCAAAGAGTCACTGGTTCGATTCCAAGTCAGGGCACATGCCTGGGTTGCCAGCCAGGTCCCCAGTAGGTGCTGCGAGAGTGCAACCACACACTGATGTTTCTCTCCCTCTCTGTCTCCTTCCTTTCCCCTCTCTAAAATAAATAAAATCTTTTTAAAAATCAGGAAAAAAACAATAAGAAGTATGACTGATTACACAACCAAAACACTGATTAAGGCAATTTTGAATACAACGTACTGAACAAAATAAGTGAGACACAAAGGAATACATACTGTATGATTCCAACTGGCCTTTTATAGTTTATAACTCATGGCACACTGAATGCAGAAATATGTAAAGACCAATATAACGTGGAGTTATGAAAAAGTGAATCATGGTTGCCTAAGGTTACATACAGGTGGGAGGTAGCTACAAAAGGGGAAAAATGAACCCTTAGGTTGATAGAAATCTTTTTTCAAAGACTTTTTTTAAAGTTTTTTTTTCAGAGGGGAAGGGAAAGAGAAAGAGAGGGAGAGAAACATCAGTTGGTTGCTTCTTGCAGGCCTCTAACCAGGGACCTGGCCCACAACCCAGGCATGTGCCCTGACCAGGAATCTAACCAGTGACCTTTCTGTTCACAGATGAGCATTCAATCCCCTGAGCCACACCAGCACAGGGCAGGTAACAGAAATCTTGATTGGGGTGCTGGTTATAAGGATATATATATTTGTCAAAACTCAAAAATATATTAAAATGTATATTTTGTTGTATATAAATTATACTTCAATAAACTGATGGCAAAAAAATCAATAGTCCTACAGAAGAAATAAAGCATGACAAAAGTAAATAATCTATTACTTACTGAAAAATTATCTTTAATGGTTACTATAAAAAAAAGAAGGCATTTTGGTTTGTACTGCAAGAATAGAAAGGTCAAAGAAATTTTTCTGGACTTCCGCCAAGATGGAGGCATAGGTGGAGACGCTGTGCTTTCTCACACAACCAAGTTTACAGACAACTCAATATTAGCAGGAGAAAACACAGCCAGAACACAGAAAATTGAACTTTTCGGAAGTCTGATAACAAATTCTTCAGCCTGACCGGTAAGAGAGGTGAAGCCAGCACCTGGCGGAGCAGGTTACACAGGAAATTCGGTCAGACAAACTCAGGCGCACGGATCCCAGGCGCAGGGTTGCAACGGTGGACCCAGTGAGCGACTCAGCAAGCGACCCAGGGGAACCAGCGAGGGAGCAGGGCCGAGATTTGACTGTGGTCGCGCATTTGTGTGCAGATAGACCAGCGAGGGAGTGGGCAGATAGATGGACCGAGGAGGCCCAGCGGTGAGAGGCAGCAGAGGGCGCCGCCATTTCCTCACTCTGACCCCGCCTCCACATACAGCGTCATAACCCAGCGACCTGGGAGTCCAAGGCTCTGCTCCTCCTACTTAATGGGCATGAACAGACCAAAAATGGCTCAAGAAGATCTCAAAGCCCCAGAACCTATAAATCTAAGTGATAAAGAAATAGCAAAACTCTCAGATGCACAGTTTAAAACACTGGTGATCAGGATGCTCACAGATCTGGTTGATTATAGCCACAAATTAGAGGAACGTATGAAGGCGAAACTAATTGAAATGAATGGAATTGCACAGGAAACCAATAGCGAGGAAAAGGAAACTGGGACTCAAATCAATGGAGTGGACCAGAAGACAGCAAATAATGGCCAAACAGAAAAGAGTCAAGAAGCAAAACTTCAAAAAAATGAGGAGAGTCTTAGGAACCTCCAGGACATCTTTAAACGCTCCAAAATCCGAATTATAGGGGTACCAGAAGGGGAAGAGGAACAGCCACCAGTGGAAAACTTATTTGAACAAATAATAAAGGAGAACTTCCCCAATCTGGCAAAGGAAATAGACTTCCAGGAAATCCAGGAAGCTCGGAGAGTCCCAAAAAAGTTGGACCCAAGAAGAAACACACCAAGGCACATCATAATTACATCAGCCAAGATTAAAATGAAGGAGAGAATCCTAGAAGCAGCAAGAGATAAGGGGACGGTCACCTACAAAGGAGTTCCCATCAGACTGTCAGCAGATTTCTCAAAAGAGACCTTACAGGCAAGAAGGGGCTGGAAAGAGGTATTCCAAGTCATGAAATCCAAAGACCTAAAACCAAGATTACTCTATCTAGCAAAACTTTCATTTAGAATGGAAGGACAGATAAAGTGCTTCTCAGATAAGATCAAATTCAAGGAGTTCATCATCACCAAGCCCTTATTATATGAAATGTTAAAGGGACTTATCTAAGAAGTTAAAAAATATGAACAGTGAAAGGACAGAAAACTTACAGTTATTAACTACCACACCTAAAAGAAAAGCAAACTAAAAGGACAGCTAGACCAGGAGTGGAAACATAGAAATGAAGATCTCAAGGAGGGTTAGCAACAGGGGAGTGGGAGGAGGAGAAGGGGGGAGAAGGTACAGAAAATAAGTAGCATAGATAGTAGATAGAAAATAGACGGGGGGCGGGAGGCAAGAATAGCATGGGAAATATAGAATCTAAAGAACTTGAGACACATGGTCATAAACTAAAGGGGGGTAATGGTGGGGACAGGGGGGTGTGCAGGGTGGAGGGGAAAGGAGAGGGGAAATAGAACAACTGTAATGGCATAATCAATAAAAAATAAATTAATTTTTTAAAAAATGCAGCAAAGTAAAAAAAAAAAAATTTCTATTATCCACCCTGGGGCAAACGTTTTCAAAATTTGAAAATGTACTTGGAAGGATAAAAAGATTAGTATTCTGAAATTCATAAAGGTTACACAATAGGTCTGTCAACAATCCAAAAATAAGTGACTGGTCTATTTTCCCATTCTACATTTAGGACCAAAATATATGCATTAGCAAAAATGCTTTGGCATTACTGGTACAATTACAAATCACCTAATTAACCCTGCTCAAATACAGGAAAAGATAAAATTCCTGATGAAAAATGTAAGCATGATTTCTACTTTCCCTTTCATCAGCTGGTTCAAAAAAGATAATGAAAAAACTCCTATTTATTAGAATTCAGTTAAATATACTTTTTATCAGCAAATATTATTTTTAAGAAATAATTTAAACTCTTAATAGATCTTCAGGTACACAAAAGACAAGTGTAAAATAATTTTGTAAAGATACACTATCTTTCAGATTTAGATCTATAGTGGGAACTGAATTCATTTTGTGCCCCTACTTCAGGCTATAAGTCCCTGGGAGTCCAAGACAATTTCCTTTAAAACTCACTTACCAGTTCTAAATATAGGAAGTAGGTAACCATTTCAACTTTCTAAACACAGCACCTAACCATGAGAGATTCTGGAATGAACAAGACAGAGTCCCTTTACTACATCCACTGACTATTATCTCACTCAAAATGATGGTTCTTGAAAGTCATGGGTCTATTGGCCCTCAGATCATAAGACCAATTCTTGGTCTGACCCTGCTCAGCTGTGTCAGAATGACAAGCTTCCGAAGGTTGAGTCTTCCCAGGCTGCTGAGTCACCTGAAAAAGGTGGGTTTGTCAGTGGAAGACATGAATCCAACAGAAGGTTCAAAGGGTTTTCCATCAAACTGAGACAGAAGAGAAAGTGATTTTACAACTTCTAAGTCCCGCTCACCAGAAGTAGTAAAGCAACACAACCTACACACCTCTGCATTCCATCATCTCTGCTGAACTTCCCACTGCTGTTTCCTCACTTTTGTTCTGAAGTTAAAACAGCAGACTGGGATCTACACCTGTGTTAAAAGTGAGGCTCTCAGACGTCTGGCCAAGATGGAGGCGTAGGTGCCTCCTCGCACAACCAAAATTAAGGACAACAAAAATTTAGAAACAAAAAGCATCCAGAATTGACAAAATTGAACTGTACAGAAGTCTGACAACCATTCATCCTGACTGGTAAGAGGGACAGAGTAGGTGGCCCACAGAGAGGGGGCACAGCAGGGAAAAGCAATGGCACGCAGGCAGTGGCCGGCAGACTCCAGGTGCGGGGTTGCAACGAGCAGACCCAGTGAGGCGTGCAAGGCAGCTGGCTGACTGCAGTCACACATTTATGCGCATATAAAACTGGCGAAAACGGGCAGCAAGACAGACTGTGCAACCCAAGGCCCCAGTGCCGGGAAATAAAGCCTAAAAGTAATAACTGAAAACACTTGTGGGAATTGAGGTGCCCAGAGAGACTCCCATCCTCACAGGAGAGTTCCTTGGAGAGACCCACAAGGTCCTAGAACGTACACAAGCTCACCCACCCCAGAACCAGCGCCAGAAGGGCCCAATTTGCTTGTGGGAAGCAGCAGAAGAAACTGAAATCCAAGAGAGAGGGGAGCAAGTACCACTGTTCCCTCTCTGACCCTGCCCCCACATACAGAATCACAACCCAGTGACTGGGTTGACCCACCCAGGTACCTGAGGTCCCACCCCTCACTACCTAACAGGCTCAACAAGACTTAAAAAAAAAAAAAAAAAAAAAAGGCCCAAATGGAAGAACAGATCAAAGTCCCAGAGCAAACATAACTAAGCAAATAAAAGAGAGCCAACCTATCAGATGCACACTTCAAAACACTGGTGATTAGGATGCTTCCCAGAATTAGTTGATTTTGGTCACAAATTTGATGAACAAATGAAGGCTACACTAAGTGAAATGAAGGAAAATGCACAGGGAACCAATAGTGATGGGAAGAAAACTGGGACTCAAATTAACACTGTGGACCAGAAGGAAGAAAGAAACAACCAAACAGGAAAGAATGAAGAAACCAGAATTCAAAAAAATGAGGAGAGGCTTAGGAACCTCCAGGACATCTTTAAACACTCCAACATCTGAATTATAGGGGTACCAGAAGGGGAAGAGGAACAGCAACAATTTAAAACGTTATTTGAACAAATAATAAAGGAGAACTTCCCCAATCTGGCACAGGAAATAGACTTCCAGGAAGTCTAGGAAACTCAGAGTCCCAAAGAAGGTGGACCCAAGAGGAACACACCAAGGCACATCATCATTACATTAGCCAAGATAAAAATGAAGGAGAGAATCCTAGACCTAGCAAGAGATAAGAGGACAGTCACCTACAAAGCAGTTCCCATCAGACTGTCAGCTGATATCTCCAAAGAGACCTTGCAGGCAAGAAGGGGCTGGAAAGAGGTATTCCAAGTCATGAAATCCAAAGACCTTCATCCAAGAATGCTCTATCCAGCCAAGCTTTCATTTAGAATGGAAGGACAGATAAAGTGCTTCTCAAATAAGGTCAAGTTAAAGGAGTTCATCATCACCAAGCCATTATTATATGAAATGTTAAAGGGACTTATCTAAGAAAAAGAAGATAAAAAATATGAACAGTAAAATGAGAGCAAACTCAGTTATTAACAACCACACTTAAAACATAAGCAAACAACTAGAACAGGAACAGACCACAGAAACGGAGATCACATGGAAGGTTAGCAACGGGGGAGTGGGAAGAGGAGAGAAGGGGGAAAAGGTACAGAGAATAAGTAGCATAGACAGTAGGTAGGAAATAGACAGGGGGAGGGCAAGAATAATGTGGGAAATGTAGAAGCTAAAGAATTTATGACACATGGACATGAACTAAAGGGGAGGAATATGGGTGGGAGAGGGTGTGCAGGGTGGAGAGGAATGAAGGGGAGGAAATGGGACAACTGTAATAGCATAATCAATAAAATATATTTTTTATTTTTATTTTTAAAAAGTGAGGCTCTTCCTCCAGTATACTGCAAGTTCATACAAGTCCCTTCACTTGATCCATAATTTCTCTTAGCTGTTTCCTCATCTGCAAAATAAGTTAATATTCAGACTAGGTGCTTTTTAATCTTCAAAACAAAACTCACCGTCCCCAAAACACTCTCCCTTCTGAACTTCAAAGTTATTTACTCAGCTACCTGAGAGAGAAGCTCCACAAGATGCCTCAATTCCTTCCCCTCATTTGTTACCCACCCCATGTCCACTCCTGTTCTAATAATTATAAATCTTATTTGTCTCAAGTTACTAAAATCCAAATACTGATTTCAGGGACCACCAACTGGGCAGTTTGGAGCACACAAATCTCTTACCTGGTCCCTTCTGACCACCATAACCATCTCTCTGCCTCCATTCTTTCTTCTTTCCAATCCATTCCCTACAGTGATGCCACAGATATCCTCAAAAAACAAAAAATTACCTAATCGCCCCCTTGTCTAAAATCCTTTACCAGTTTCCAAATGCCCTATGAGTGAATACCAAAACTCTCTTAGACCTAGAATCTATCTTCTTAAGTCTCCACACACACCATTAGCCACCCTTCCTATGTGACCATGTATCTTTGAGGTCTGCTTGGGATGCCTCACTTCCTTTCCAAACTCCCTCTTCAGAGTGGTGACCTTATCTATCTAGGCATGGCTCAAAAGCCCTCTCCTCTACCTCAGCTCACGAAGGATTTTTCTTTTGTGTTCCTCTTTCACACCTCCTTGGTATAACTTTACATGTTCCATTCTACATGGTTGAGCAACAAGTCCATAAAGGTTTTTCCATAAAATAAAAGGCATATTTCTCATTTTCACCTATAAATTTATTGATTTGGATATTTTGCGCATGTCAGCTATCTCCCATGTGGTATAATACTGACGGTTCTCAATTAATGTCTCAATTTGACTGCTATCAACTTCAACTGGTCTGCCCAACTGTGGAGCACTGTTCAGCAAGAAATCTACAACGCAGTACTTGGAAAGCTACTTTCACAAGTTCAATCAGTCACAGCACCTTCTCCATATACTCCACAAATCTTTTTTGCATTTCAGTTGTTTTTACCTTTCTTGAAATAATAAAGCATAATTTGCTGAAAATGTTGCATAGTTTCTTCCATGCTCAGTATTAAAATGGCTACATAAAAATTCAACAATTTTGACAGTTTTTTTTAAATGCACGCTGATACAAAAATTGTCACAATCCAATCTAACAAAATTGTTTCAGGTGAAGTTAAAGACAACTAAGTGCTACTAGAGCCATCTTACTGAAAAAACAAAATGAACTTCTTGATGAACACAGTATTACTTATTTTATGCCTCTCTCCCAGCAGAATGTGTCCTGGCAACCACATAATGGCTGCCTATAAGAAATGTAGTTTCATATAGAATTTAGAGTGCAGGTCTGAAGCCAGACTACCACCAGTGTTTAAACCCTTAGCTTTACTTGTTAGTGGCTGTCACCATAATCTCCCCAAGTCTCCATATATACGGCTGGAAAAAATGGAAAACAACAGTTTAAACCTCATAGGATTATTTACGAGGAAAAGAAATAATGCAGGTCAAGTGTTTAACACTCATTGGGGTAATAGCAAGAAAAATAAGAAAAAATCATAAGTAATTAGTAGCAACAGCAGCAGCGGTAAAAAAGCTTACTCATTACTGTGTGTTGTTCATCTTCTCACTGAGGTACACCTTCTCACTGAGCCCTCACTACAATAAGAATAGGGTACTGTTATTATCATCGTCCCAATTTTGCAGAAAATCGAGCAAACAGAAAGTCTGAGTAACTGACCCAAAGTAACACAACAGGGCCAGAATCCCCAGCCTGGCTCCAGAGGCCTAGCTTTTGTCGGAGTACACAACATATGCTAGGTTATGAAGCAACAGAAAAAAATGTTTGGTTAAGCAAAGGAACAGCAATAAAGTTATAGAAGAGAAGACACTAACGTAAATATATAAAGAAATGCACCTAATTTTTGAGTTATGTAAGCACGAAATCTTTCTTTTTCTTCCTGTACTTAGGCCTGGTTCCAAAGTTTTTGTGCCTCACTTTGGAGTTGACCCCTTGAGAAAGTAAACCCTCCAGGGGAAGGGTAAAAGAAAACCCAGAGGGCACCGCCCCTCTCCGCTCTCAGGCCAGGTCCCAACACGCCCATCCAGTCCACCCGGTTCCCCCCATCCTCCTCACATCAAATGCCAGCAGCTGCCCATGGGGTGCGCGGTGCAACTCGCGGACCATCTCCGTGGCTCTATTGCAGAACATGGCAGAGGTAACCCAGTCCCGTGGCCTTCTCAACCACCCGTTCTCACACCAGTGTAGTAGGCCTCACGCCGCAACTCTTCAGTTCTCCGTACTGGTTCCTACAGCTCAGGATTATCCTCTGCCCCAGCACCGCACTTTGGCGCCAAACACTCCCAGCCAATAGGAACACGCCTCTGGGTCTCACGGCCTACGGCGTCTGTAAAAGGACATCAACCTTCGCTACTCACTTCTTGTTAGAGGTGAAGGTGTTCCTCCCTAGGGTAGGCCCCGGCAACGAGGGGAGAACTGACAGGTCTCCGTTGGAGCCTGTAAACTGAGCTGATTTGTTTTTTGAATTACCAGGCGGCTAAACTATCAACTTTGCGCGTCGCATAGCTCAACATAAACGCACGTTTGTCAACTTCCTTTTTCCATATGATTCATTCATTTTCTTTTAGGTTCAAAGAGGTGTGCACTCCAAGGTTAAGAAGAAAAGCCGAGAAACTCGGTGTGCATTAACATTAGGATGCAGCGTTTCGTTTGTTTAGTTTTGCAGCGTGAGTGTTTCTATACAAAAGGGAAACCAACTTTTATTGAGCATCTCCTGTGTGGTAGGGACTATGACATATATTTCATTTAATGATCAGGATTAACCAACCCTAAGGTTGTTTTTAAGACTCTTGGTACTGATTAGGAAACAGAAGTTAGATAATTTGCCTAAGGTCACGCAGACCCTGTATCTAAGCTTTCAACTCCACAGTCCCACCATTGATGTTAAAGTAGTCATTTAAAAATATTTGTAAATAGCTCTAGTCACAAGGTCTACAGAGAGGGAAAAGTTCCTTAGATTAATAGCAATTCACAAAGCCATATTCTTCCTTACATGACTATGGAAATTTTCATAAACATATAGAGTAAAAGGTAGTAATTACTGTTATAGGAAATTCATTTTATGTGGTTGTTTTTTAAAATGCCACATTTTAAAAAAAGTAGTATTACTTGGACACATTCTAGCTAACCTGAGAAACTGTGTCCTTTTTGCAAATACACAGTGGATGTGTGATCAGAGAAATAAGTATGGGAAGAGACATTTAGCTAAGTATTTTCATTAAATACACAGCTCTACATTGACCCATACTACAGGATATGGATCCAAAGATCAACAGCATCCACAGCTTTCCTTTGCCATAAACCTTTTTAATTTTGCACCCCAAACCTGAGATTCATTTCCTCACCTATAAAGCGAGAACAATAATATCCACTTTTGAGGGGCTGTGATGATTCTTTATTCTTTCAGCAAATATTTATGAAGTGTCTACTATGTAGTTGATATTGTTTTAGACACTGAATATAAAGCAGTGAACAAAGTCCTTGCTCTAGTCTATGTTCTGGTGTGGGAAAGCAGGAATGCGCAAGTAGAAATACATTGATAAATATATTAATGAAAAGCATTAAAAATATGTCAAAGAGGGCGAACAGAGTGATGGTGAGAGGGCCTGCGGGTTTTGAGTTAATGTTTAGAGAAGGCACAGACCTGAAGTAGGAAAGGAATAAGCCATGGATATGGTGCCATTAGGAGGGCAGAAAATTCCAGGCATCAAGAATACAGTGCAAAGGCCCCAAGAAAGGTTGTGTGATGGCTGGCACACATGCCATCCACACCCTTCCTGGGGGCCTCTGTATCAGCAAGGAGGCCTCTGTATCAACATACTGTATCAGTATGTTGGAGCAGGGTGAGTGAAGCAGAGGTTAGTGGCTGAGATCAGATTGAGGTCTAGAGGCTCTTTCCGAAGCTCTGGGTTTTATTTCCAGTGAGATAAGAGAGCCATTGAAGTTTTGAGCAAAGAAGTGACAGGTCTGGATCTAGATTTTTAAAAAGACCTGTGAAAAAGCTGAGTTAAGTAGCCAGAAGTAAGTCAAAAGTGGGCCCAGGAGACCCAGGAGACCACTTAGGCTACTAAAACAGACCAAGTGAGAAATGATGGCAGCTTGGTGAAGGCGGTAAGAAGTGAATGGATCCTGGACAGATTTTGAAAAGAGACCCAACAAGGCTTGGGGATATACCTCCTGTAGCAAAAGAAGGGAGGAATCAAGGATGGCTTCAGGGTTTAACCTGAGGAACTGCAATGATGGCCTCATCATCCCCACTGCCACCCCAACCTGAAGTGGAAAAAGTTATGGATGGAACTGAGGGTAGAAGAAGAGTTGGGAGCTCATCTTTGAACATAATTTAAGGTGCCTGTAGAATATGAACTAGAGATACAAATGTAGGTGTCACCATTTGGTATTGGTTTTTAAAACCTGGAGAAGACCACTCAGAAAGTTAGTGTGGACCAAGAGTTGAGGACTATATATGCAACGCCTAGTATCAGCAAGAAGGACACAATCTCTTCTTTCTAGCTCCTACTCCTAGCTTTTTCATTTTTCCATTAAATAGGATTCAATGAGTATTAGAATAAAAGAATTATTTACAGTTTAGTTGCTGGATTCCCAAACCCCGTGTGTGTTGCTACATCACTTTAAAGAATTCACCATTTAAATGCCAAAAGTTTGTTTGAACAAATATGTTAGTTGTGGTATTTAGTAATATGGTCAATTAAACTATTTCACAATTTCTAAGTATTACTACAAAGCTAGTGTAAGGAGCTACTGAATTTCTTAAGATATTTCTAATTGATCTTACATTATCAGTTGCCAATAGTTTTTACTGACACAAATGTTGAAATTCCAAAAATTACTTTGAGATAAGCACACTTCTTGATTGTACGTCATTTGTAAAATAATAACAATAGTGCCACATTTTTTTAAAAAGTCAAAGTTAAAGAAACTAAATTTGTGAAAATGTTCTTATTTTCTCATTTTTTTAAAAGATGGGTTGAATTAGTCCTGGTGGGAGAATAATTATAAATCATTAGAAAAGAATTGTGATTTGTTACTTTTTCTTTTTTTAAAAGATTTTATTTATTAAGAGAAAGGGAAGGAAGTGAAAGAGGGAGATACATTGATGTGTGAGAGATACATCAATTGGTTACCTCTCACATGCTTCCAACTGGGGACCTAGCCCACAAACCCAGGCATGGGCTCTGACTGGGAATCCAACCAACGACCTTTTGGTTCACAGGCTGATACTCAATCCGCTGAGTCACATCAGCCAGGGCTCTTTTTTGTTGTTATAAACCTCTATATGGACATTTGGGGGGGCGGGGGGGCGTTGATCAAGATTGGGTTTCCAGCCTGTAGACAGAAATGGGCTATATATAAACCTGACAAGCTCAGGTGAAGCCTGGGTGGTGGCTTTATAAACTCAGAGTCCTAAAGTAACCACATAGGATGGTCTGAAATTAAAACTAAAAACAGGGAGTCATGTCATAGGCTAGAATCTTTCCCAACAAAAGTCAATCTTTTTACCTTAACTGAGAGTATCTACTTTCTTAAGATAACATACCTTTGGAATGTCAGAATAATTTTCCTTTTTTTGGGCCCATGAAAGTAAAGGCACCGATCTGGGGAGATCACAAATCCCTTCACTGTTACTATTGATTATTAATTATCCTGTGTTCACCTGCATAAAAGTATGTGTCTACCATATTTCCTTTTATCCAACACCAGCGGTTTACCCCATTTTGCTTTCACCTTCCTCTTTAATCACCAATAGATTACGTGTAACCTACTTACATTTTCTCTTTTAGTTGTAATGTATAAAATAAGGTGCATAACTATCATTCTTTGGAGCATTTTCTCCACCTTTTGAGGTTTTGCTTCCCGGCAATTGTCAGGTTGGCTCAAATAAACTCAACAATTCTTTACAGGTTGAATGTTTCCTACGTGGACGAACCTTAGGGGAAAGTCAGAAAGCCTGGGGGTGAGAGTAAAGGGAAACCAACTTTCCACTGTAGCCCCTCGATGGGCACTCACTTTCTGGGCAGCTTCCTTTCCCGTTCAGGCCACTGATCTGTGATACAACGGTGAGTACGCAGGCAAAGGAGACCCTCAACCCAGGAGGAAGCCTAGACCCCACGGAGAGTCAGCCGCCTTGCCCGGACCAAGATGCTAGAGTGGTTATGCCCGCCCTTCTCCAACCAAGATGGCTTCCGTTCCGCGCCGGGGATTCTGGGTGCGCTCCAGGAGGAGCCAGGGCAGAGGCCGACGCTGATTGGCCTGCGGGTGTCCGTAGCCGCCTTAGCGTGCGGCTGCTATGTGATGGGTAGCGGGTTCCAGGAGGCGTCTCTCAACTGCGGCGACTGCAGTGAGGGCGGCGGGGACACCGCCAAGGGGCTCCTTGGGTGGCCGGCCGTGTGGGCCACGGGATGAGGAAGCGGACCGACGCCGTCACCTTGAAGCATGAACGCTGCGTCCCCTTGGGCTCGTCCTCCCCGGGCTCGACTGCCGGGGTTCTGGACGCAGACTGCCGCCTGAAGCGCAATTTCCGCCTGGCGGGCAAGGGGCCCGCTGAGCCGCGCTGCACCGCAGACGAGGGCATGAAACGAGCGCTAGGCAGGTGAGGTGAGGGGCAACCTGGCCCGCAAGCCACCCCTAAACCTTCCATGCTGTCCATAAGTTTCCTGCTTGCGTGAGTGTCCCACACCTACCCGCCATTCTTCCGGAGTCCTCTTCCGACCTCTGCACGCCCTCCCCTCTCTTGTCTCTGACCCCCGCATCCCTTCCCCAGGTCCCTAACCCGCACCCCTGCCTGCCCCCTCACAACCCTGGTGTGCCCTTCTGCCCCCCCCCCCCCCCCCCCCGGCACTCCAAATCGAGCCCCTCATACGCTTTCCCTGGTGAGCCTGTACGAGCTTACCAGGGAAAGCACTGGGTTTGACGAGCCTCTCACAGGGATATAGAGCGGCTGGGAAATCACGACTCCGCATAGGAGAGTAGGGGGGATATGGTGGGAGTAGACGCCAGATCCTGAGAGCTATGACTCTATGCAAATCTCCTCTGCGTTGGAACCAACCCAGTGCCCCTCTCACTAGGTTGGCTTGTACCGAAGCTGATCGGTACCGGGTTTCTCATTTCGGGAATTCTTCTAGGGTAACTAGTTTGCAGAAGTGGTGTTGTTTGCTCAGAACTGCCAGACCTTTGGGGAAAAGTTAAAGGGGCTGCTTGTGTCCAAGGGAAAGAAAGGATGCACCGCATCCTCAGCTTTTGGA